AAAATACGGTAATTGTATAAAGAGAAAGCAAAATGTACGTTGCAACTTCATTAAAAGAAACACTGAGAGTCTTGGAAAACTTAGAGCTGGAGCTCCCAAGTGAAATTGATGACAATACAGATTAGGATTCAGGAGGAGGAGAAAATGATCCAGGGCAGATACAAAGTGGTTGGACACAACTACATAGGAGATGCTAAAATGCATACATTTAATGTTAGGGAGATCCTGTTGAATGGAGGCAAGTTGCAAGAGAAACACACCTAGAAGATTCAAGAGATACATAGGAAGGACCGACCGACCGACCGTTTATTGAAATATGGGTACTGTGGGCAACATTCACACCACAAAATATTAAGTCAAGAGGGGTAGCAATAATTTTTCCAACAGCTGTCCCATTTCAGCAAGGGGACATAATTAAAGACCCACAAAGATGTTGAATGAGTAAAATGAGGTTTACAGGAATTCAACCTCATAGATGCTTGTAGATAATCTGCAGAAGAGGAATTTTACATATTATTCACATAGCCACAACACATGTTCTAGAATAGTTTGTATTTTAATGTCTCACATTTAAGGCAAAACACTGGACAATCAGAAATTAGTATTGAAAATATCCAATCATGCACCAATATCCAGAAAGCCATACTAGATTTAATAAGGTTCATGATTGTGGAGCAGTAGCAGTACCCGGACTACTTATTAATTAAAATTTCTCCTCTGTCATTTCTATTTGTTTTGGCTATAGTTTTCTGTTTGAAAAAAATAATAAAATGTAAGAAAAAAAAAGATTATACTGTAGCTTTTCTCAACAAAGTTTATAGTAGCATGCAACCGCGAAACAAGTTCAGGATACACTAGTAACACACAAACACATCTTAGTGTTCTGACTAATAATGTTGAGGTCACAATATATTATTTGGTTCTGCAAATCTAGAGTAAGTGGTGGGCAGAAATAGATGTCTTATTTCTGGCAGGGCATATGAGGGTAATATATTATGGACTTTTGGTGCCAGCTTGAAACTGTTCTCCTTTTTTAAGTCTCATTTTTTAAAGTGCATTGGTGTTTAGATCCTTGTGTTGTTGTTGCCCTCTGCAATTGGTAGTATGTTGCATTATGTTGTTTTGATTGAATAGCCACAATTATTATTTTTTGCAGTACAGTACTGTACTATATTATGTTACACTATATCTTTTCTTGCATATTACTGTATATTGTTTCATTATATTTATGGTCTGATGTTAACTGTTTTTGATTTCTCTGAGATCTTTGGCTATTGAGCAATAGAAAAATGCAGTGAGTAAATGGATTGAGTATTCTTTGATTGATCCTGTGGTTGACAGCAAGTTACACAGTTCTGCTTCCTGTGTTTCCCTGCTTTGCTGCCTCTGGGCTACCCATGTACAGTTCTGAAATAGTCCTGCAATACTACTTTTCAACAGCAGTTGCAACTCTGAAAATGGAAGTATACCTTTATGAAATGTGAGCTTTATGAAAGTTAACATTAAAATATAGCACTTAATCTTTAAGGTGCCACAGAGTTTTTGTCTTTTTTTTGTTTTTGCTTTTGTTTTGTTTCTTGTTGATTTATTTATGAGGAGAAGACCTGTTTGCAAGCTCCATGTCTGTCTGCGTTGTGTAGTGCAGTTTGGGTACATTGATTTTGCAATAAGTATTTTGGTATTGATTTGCTGTCTCTCCAGCATGTTTTTCCATTTGAGATCAAATTGTGGTTGCTGTGTAGGAAACATTATTTAATGATAAAACTTTAGCACAGAGAAGTGTATCTAATGATCTCTATGAGATCATCTAATTTAGTATTGTCAAATGCGAGTAGATAAATAGGTGCCATCTCGGTGGGAAGGTAAAACGGTGTTCCCTAGTCACGCTGGCCACGTGACAATGGAAACTGTCTTTGGACAAGCGCTGGCCCTACAGCTTGAAAAATGGGATGAGCACTGCCCCCTAGAGTTGGACACGACTGGACTAAAAATGTCAAGGGGAACTTTTACCTTTTACTTGTCAGATGGTCCTCCAAGGCTCTGGTGAACTCAGCCATCTTTTTTTTTAAAACACCCTTGGGAATAATGCAACATCAAATGGTAGAACACTTTCTGTTGAACACTCAGTGAGCAGTGTGACTCAGTTGTTTTTGTTTGCAGTGCAGTGAGACTATTTTACTAGGAGAACTTTCTGCCATCTCTTATCTATGTTGGTCACTCCAAATATGAAAAATTTATTTCAAATTAAAATGAACACAGAAATAGTTGGCAATTCCTTTACACGTAGTGCATGCACAGATACATATGAACATTGTTGAAAAATGTCTGGTAGTAAGAATCCTGTAATGATTCACCCCAGATCGATTGTATCTCAGTCATCAGTGCACTATTGCACTGAATCTGACTACTCAGGGAAAAAGGAAATGATGTATCATTTTGGAATAGAAAAAAATGCCTGTAATGCTTACAATTATGCCTACAGTATCCATACAGGATTCATTTCAATGGTACAGTGGTGCCCCGTATAGCGAGGTTAATCTGTTCCGGATTAACCTTCGCTATACGAAAACATCGCTGTGCGGGTAAGTAAAACCTATTGGAACGCATTAAACTTAGTTTAATGCGTTCCAATAAGTGTGCAAACTTACCCCTCCAGCGATGTTTTCGCGTCCGGCGGCCATTTTGGGGATCGCTATACGGATCTGCCCCAATCGCCGCACTCGCTTTGCGACGATTGGGGCTCCGGCGGCCATTTTGGAGCCGCCGAACAG